AACAGGAAGGGGTGGAGACAAGACCAGTCACCCTGCACAAAGAGAGAGCAGCAGTGGCCGGTCTTTATTACAGGTGGGGGATGAGACAAGACCAGTCATCCTGCACAAGGAGAGAGAGCAGCAGTGGCCGGTCTTTATTACAGGAGGGGGCGGAGACAAGACCAGTCCCCCTGCACAAAGAGAGAGCAGCAGTGGCCGGTCTTTATTACAGGAGGGGGCGGAGACAAGACCAGTCCCCCTGCACAAAGAGAGAGCAGCAGTGGCCGGTCTTTATTACAGGAGGGGGCGGAGACAAGACCAGTCCCCCTGCACAAAGAGAGAGCAGCAGTGGCCGGTCTTTATTACAGGAGGGGGCGGAGACAAGACCAGTCCCCCTGCACAAAGAGAGAGCAGCAGTGGCCGGTCTTTATTACAGGAGGGGGCGGAGACAAGACCAGTCCCCCTGCACAAAGAGAGAGCAGCAGTGGCCGGTCTTTATTACAGGAGGGGGCGGAGACAAGACCAGTCCCCCTGCACAAAGAGAGAGCAGCAGTGGCCGGTCTTTATTACAGGAAGTCTCACACGGGATGACTGCACAGATCTGGAAGGAAGACACGGAGCTCACCAGGACTGAAGGAAGAACACGCGTGACTCTGGTATGAGGACAGTATTTGCTTATGTCGGAGTTCAGCTTTAACAGTGACTTTTCCAGCAGGTCATGTGACCGATGCTTTGCCTTTCGTGGATCATGTGACCATCTCTAACCTGGAATGCCATTTTCTCAGCAGACGATGTTTGGTTTGGTCTGGTCTGGTCTGGTCTGGGGGTGGATGGGGGGTGACACGGCTCTGAAGGGGTTTTATTTATAGGCGGGCTGCGCGTGGTTTTCTGCTCTCACCGTGTGGCAGTTGTCGGTTACAGCGCGCCCGTCCTCCTCCTCCTCCTGCACACGCAGTCTGTAGATTCTGCGTGGCCGGTATATGGTGACAATGTATCCGGAGCTCCAAATATAAACATTTCCTCTTCTCAGACCTCCGAAGTCTAACCAGCTCCTATCTCTGTATCAGGATGAATCACCATTGTGTAGGACTGCTGGGATTTGTAGTTCCACATTGTGTAGGACTGCTGGGATTTGTAGTTCCACATTGTGTAGGACTGCTGGGATTTGTAGTTCCACATTGTGTAGGACTGCTGGGATTTGTAGTTCCACAGATCAGGGGCGCCATGGCGGGTTGTACGTTGAGTCTTTGGTGCCCTGCGTTTCCCATTCCTCCTTTGTATCCTGATTGGCTGTGACAGGTGCACTTGTCCCCGCCGGGGGAAGCTTGCATGTTGTGTGTCCTGTGACCGGACGTGTTCCTAGTGATTGGTGGCGTGTGCGTGTGTGCCGGCGTTTCCATATTTATCGCCTGCACGCTATTAATATCAGCCTGGAATTGAATCCCCCCCTTTCCTGCTGAGGGGCGGCACGCCGGAGGATGAGCCTGTCTGTGTGTCGGGGCCCCGGGGGGACTCCTTGTTGGAATCTCAGAGCGCACAACAGGTGAGTGGCCCTTACCTGAGCGGGGCCCCCCCTGCCCCCCTTTAGCCAGGCCGGGATCGGGCGGCGCCGGCGCTGCTGTGGCCGGTCTGCGTTTTCCTCTTGCCGGAGTGAAGGGGCCGAGCGCAGCTGCCTGGGTGTCACTGCCGGTCAGCACAGAGTGACACTTCACAGCGATCATGTGACACATTCCCCAGAGCCGGAGACATCGCAGGAGCCAACCGGGTGCCCGGCGCCCCCAAAAATGGTGCCAGTGGAAGCTTGTGTGTCCAGGCTACCTACAGCTAGGAATGCCGGGGAACACTTTTACCTGATCCAGGCAGCACAGCCGGGACCTGGACTTAAATGCATTTAAACAGTTCAGGCTCCGTGCTCATCACTATTGCAGAAACCATCTATCCTCTCACTCTGCTCTCTCCTCCTGCCGGCAAGATGGTCATCACTATTGCAAAACCATCTCTCCTCTCACTCTGCTCTCTCCTCCTGCCAGCAAGATCCCAGTGTTAGCACCATGTAGAGCCTGAGTTCATGGAACTGGCTCCCTTTTCCCAGTCTGAGCACTGCTGTGCCCGGCACATTTAGGTGGATACAAGTTCTATTTACAATACATCTTGTGGTGTTTTTGAGGTCCGGCTCGGTTTTGTCCTCAGACTGCTTTCCCTCCGGTTTGGTTACAAAGGTTGCAGATTTGCTGCTTGCCACGTTCCAGCATTTCTCTTCACCTCCGCCTCTGACGGTGACACGACCTCACTTCCTGGTTGAATTACTTCTAGTGTCAGTCACTTCCTGTGAGCCCAGGCTGTCACGGACACGCCCCCTAGGGGGTCTCCGAGCGTACGGCTACATGGAAGAGCGCTCACAAATCACATGGTTTTCGATACATTTCCTGGTCTGACGGATCGGATCCGGTGTTGCCGACATCTCCTTCGGTTTGCTGAGCGCTTCATGGATGCGGGCACCAGACTCACGTCTCAGCCGGCAACTCACCACCGGCCCCGGCGACAGTGCGGCGTGTCACATGGACCTCCGCTGCCCCGTCCTGCATAGTGAGCCCGGCGACTGGGCCCCGGCGACAGTGCGGCGTGTCACATGGACCTCCGCTGCCCCGTCCTGCATAGTGAGCCCGGCGACTGGGCCCCGGCGACAGTGCGGCGTGTCACATGGACCTCCGCTGCCCCGTCCTGCATAGTGAGCCCGGCGACTGGGCCCCGGCGACAGTGCGGCGTGTCACATGGACCTCCGCTGCCCCGTCCTGCATAGTGAGCCCGGCGACTGGGCCCCGGCGACAGTGCGGCGTGTCACATGGACCTCCGCTGCCCCGTCCTGCATAGTGAGCCCGGCGACTGGGCCCCGGCGACAGTGCGGCGTGTCACATGGACCTCCGCTGCCCCGTCCTGCATAGTGAGCCCGGCGACTGGGCCCCGGCGACAGTGCGGCGTGTCACATGGACCTCCGCTGCCCCGTCCTGCATAGTGAGCCCGGCGACTGGGCCCCGGCGACAGTGCGGCGTGTCACATGGACCTCCGCTGCCCCGTCCTGCATAGTGAGCCCGGCGACTGGGCCCCGGCGACAGTGCGGCGTGTCACATGGACCTCCGCTGCCCCGTCCTGCATAGTGAGCCCGGCGACTGGGCCCCGGCGACAGTGCGGCGTGTCACATGGACCTCCGCTGCCCCGTCCTGCATAGTGAGCCCGGCGACTGGGCCCCGGCGACAGTGCGGCGTGTCACATGGACCTCCGCTGCCCCGTCCTGCATAGTGAGCCCGGCGACTGGGCCCCGGCGACAGTGCGGCGTGTCACATGGACCTCCGCTGCCCCGTCCTGCATAGTGAGCCCGGCGACTGGGCCCCGGCGACAGTGCGGCGTGTCACATGGACCTCCGCTGCCCCGTCCTGCATAGTGAGCCCGGCGACTGGGCCCCGGCGACAGTGCGGCGTGTCACATGGACCTCCGCTGCCCCGTCCTGCATAGTGAGCCCGGCGACTGGGCCCCGGCGACAGTGCGGCGTGTCACATGGACCTCCGCTGCCCCGTCCTGCATAGTGAGCCCGGCGACTGGGCCCCGGCGACAGTGCGGCGTGTCACATGGACCTCCGCTGCCCCGTCCTGCATAGTGAGCCCGGCGACTGGGCCCCGGCGACAGTGCGGCGTGTCACATGGACCTCCGCTGCCCCGTCCTGCATAGTGAGCCCGGCGACTGGGCCCCGGCGACAGTGCGGCGTGTCACATGGACCTCCGCTGCCCCGTCCTGCATAGTGAGCCCGGCGACTGGGCCCCGGCGACAGTGCGGCGTGTCACATGGACCTCCGCTGCCCCGTCCTGCATAGTGAACCTGGCGACTGGGCTCCGGCGACAGTGCGGCGTGTCACATGGGCCTCCGCTGCCCCGTTCTGCATAGTGAGCCTGGCGACTGGGCCCCGGCGACCCTGTTGCGCGTCACATGGGCCTTAGTATAGGTGGCGCAGGGCGGAGTCACGTAGGGCGGAGTCCATGACAGGCCAATGAAATTGATCTCAGAATCTGATTCTTTTCTTTCTCTCCCCAGCAGCGCGGAGCCTGGTCATGGCTTGTTGCCCCCGGTCAGCACCGCACGACCCAGCCGCCGGCGGACGACCAGTCAGTGTAAATCGGAACCGCCGCTGCTACGGACCAGCAAGAGGACCATCTACACAGCCGGGCGCCCTCCCTGGTACAACGAGCACGGCACTCAGTCCAAGGAGGCGTTTGTCATAGGTGAGGCGGGCCGGGAACAGATGACGGGTTAGTACATGTGGGGCAGGGCTTCCCTAGACAGCCAGGCGCGTGGCATTTTCCTGTGACATTGTTCTCTAGTTTTGGATGGAGCCAGGGGCGGAACTACCGGTGGTGCAGGGCCCAAGGCTAGGGGGGGCCCACTGACAGGGGAGAAGGTGGAGGAGGCCCAGCAGCGGCAGCTAAGGTGCTTCATGTGCAGGGAAAGGGACCCCGACCAGCCCACCTGAGACCCCACAGAGCCCACCATAGAGAGTCTCTGAGGGCAGTGCAGGATCTATGGTGGGCTGGTCGCGGTCTCAGGTGGACTCTGCAGGCCCCGAGTCCGGCGCGCTCCCAAACCAGGGCCCTTTATAGGTCTGCCACTGGATGGAGCAGGGGAAGGATTAGAACCCCTGTCAGTGTCTGTGTACCCACTGGGGAGATTCACTCTCTTCATTTGTCCTGGGGGCTGGGTAATGGGAAATCCAATATTGGACAGTTGTCACCAGGACAGGAATAGGAGGAAATCTTCCAGTGGGGACACCTATATATATATATATATAACAGGTAGAAATGTGGAAAAGGTATTAATTATCCGGATGTTAATGGAAGATCGAAGCTCTGGTAGGGGGTGGGAAGGAAGAGGCGGGGTAACCCTTCAGGGTGTCAGTGACTGTCAGTTCCTCACCCGGTCTCTCTCATATTTTAGGTCTGGGGGGCGGCAGTGCCTCCGGGAAAACCACGGTGGCCAGAATGATTATAGAAGCCCTGGACGTGCCCTGGGTGGTCCTCCTGTCTATGGACGCCTTCTACAAGGTAACATTTACCCTCCAAGGAGTTACTAACACCAGGAGCTGGAGGCTGGCGATCGGCTCTCACAGCGATCACATGATCAGGAGCCCGTTCCCACCTCCCGATTGGAAACAGTCAGTCACTGTGCTGAAAGCGACGAGTGAGCGAGCGCCCAGTACAAGATCACGCCGCATATGTGCAGCGCCATGGAGGAGAGCCCGCCTCTGCGACGCCTCATATCCGTGTGCATGCAGAGCTGGTTTTAAAGTGCACGTGTGCCCGGACTAAGGACAGGGGGCCCCCTACACTGCCAGGTCTAGGGGCAGAGGATGGAGCTGGGATACCTTATTGCTCACTCCGGAAGGCCTCCGCCATGCTGTGCCGCCATTTCCCCGAGGGCCCTTTAAGGAGCTCCGGCTGTTGGTCGCACTCTTACGCCATCATGTGCTTACAGGTTGTGCGCCAATGCCCCGCGTCTTTGGACATTAGGACACTAGTTATGCCCACCCTGAGGGCTTTATTCCCACTGACTCCTCCCCCCAGGGAATCGGCTTTCAGAGCAGACACTCCCCCTGCAAGTCTGATATCCTGACATTAGACCACCCAGACCCTGGAAATCAGGGCTGCCCTTGGTTAAAAATAGCGCCTTTAGCCCCTCCCACCTCGTTCCCTTATTACTAAGTAAGGCTAATAAGTGGCCAATAGAGAAGGGGGAGACTGGACGGGCCTGAGCTGAAGGTTCTGTGTGCAACTGAAGGTCCCCAAGGAGCCCACTGAGATATGTAACAGTACCCCTAGGCACCCACATTGCACCTCTGCTTACTTAGCCGGCTCCCCTCGTTATTTACACTGCGTGACTTCTCTCTTCAGGTGCTGACCGAGGAGCAGCAGATCCTGGCCGCCCGCAACGAGTACAACTTCGACCACCCGGACTCGTTTGACTTTGAGCTGATCATCAGCACGCTGAAGAAGCTGAAACAGGGGAAGAGCGTAAAAATTCCCACCTATGACTTTACCACTCACAGCCGGACCAGAGATTGGGTAAAATCATCGGTTTACAGCGGAGGTCGCTTCCCCCGTTCTGTCCAATGAACGTCATTCATTCAATGGCCAAGCACACATCAGGGCCTATAGAGGAAGGGGCAGGGACCTTGGGGGCGGGGACCTTGGGGGCCGGCCTTCTTAGAGGTTGGCCAATAATATCCCTCCTATCCTCTAGTATAACACGCTGCCGCTCTTCTTCTATACTAATTGGAGGAGTGACATTAATACTGATACAAGGATACATATTATACTGCGTGTTATACATGTATCACCTGATCACTTAAAGGATATCTCCTCTCTCTCTCTTGTCCTAGAAAACCCTTTACGGAGCGAATGTGATCATATTTGAAGGGATCATGGCGTTTGCTCATGCGGAGCTTCTGAAGGTAAAGGAGAGCCGCTTGTTACAATGTTACCGTCACAGGTTACATTTTCTTTCATATATTATATTATAGTTATTAGGGATGAACTGATACTAGTATTGGTACCGGTGCCCATACCGAGTATTTGGGCGAGTGCTCCTATTATTATATTGCAGGTTACATTTTATGTCATGTATTGTATATAAGTGTAACAAACATGCACACAGCACGAGGAGAGACACAGATACTAAAGGGTTTATTAAGAAGAGACTTGTTCTGATTTATTCAAGTTGAATACAAGCCAAGAGATGTGTTTGAGTTTTAGAAAGAAATAGAATTATTCTCCGGCCAATGGTGTCACAAGGGGGGTGCGGTCCGCACCCAGGTGACACCTTCTAAGGGGGTGACAGCAAAGTGAATGACAGTCATTTTGGTGTCACCCCCCTCTGAAAAGTGATGCACTCTGTCATGGACCGAGAGCCCGACAGCTGCAGGAGAGAGGAAGGGACCCGGTGGGATACCTTATCCTGCCGGGTGAACGTCCCCTCCTCTCTCTGCCGGCGTCCATCACCAAGATGGCCACTGGCAAGTATCAAAAAGATGGTCGCGCATGCGCGATGATGTCACGGCGGGGTGTCACCCGGTATCTGCTCCGGGTGACACCCGGCCTCGGGACGCCCCTGACTCTGACCTTCCCTTCAGTCTTGCACAGTTGTACCGGCTCCTCTCCTGGCCTAAAATCGCTTTCACTGCACACTATGACCTTCTCACAATGTGCATTAGAAGCTGCAGCAAGTCACATAGAGCCCCGCCTCATTTCCTGACTGGAGGACGTCCAGCATCATCTGCTCCAGGAGTATCCAAACTTCGGCCATCTGGCTGTTGTAGGAGTCAACGTTCCATGAGGCATTGCCAGAGTCTGATAGCCACAGGCATGACTTCCAGAGGCAACTGTATGATGGGCCACAGCTGGAGGGCCAAAGTTTTGCTACCCCTTCCTTACCGTCCCTGGCACATCCCTTCAGTTCTTTCAATCATGGAGGCTCAGCATCCTATGTGGGCGTTACCTAGTGTGGTCTTTATGCAAATACAGCCCGCCTAGGAACGCCCACTCCTCCAGACTGACACCTGTCCATCAAGGCATTTTGATATTTGCATAACTCCTCCCAAGAGCCAACCCACTGCTTACATCAGGAATGAGGTCTCTTGAGAGCAGCACTGAGGCAGGATGCAGTGATGTTTTCAGGAAGCACCCTGCTTGCCCCTCCCACCAGCCATGATCTGACTGTTTTGTATAGAGAAGCACGGAGATGATGTCATTGGACCTATAATAAAGTATGTCATGAAATAGGTTTATTATCATGTTGATGAAGGGGAGGAGGAGGAGGTACCAGGGAGCCACATAGAAGCAGAAGAATCTTGTGACTCTCCAGACTACTGTCGGGTGTCTGTACTTTGTTCTCTCGCGCAGTTGCTGGACATGAAGATTTTTGTGGAGACGGACTCTGATATCCGCCTGGTACGGAGGCTGCGGAGGGACATCTCACAGCGAGGGCGAGAAATCGAGGGAGTGCTTAAACAGTACCACACCTTTGTGAAACCCGCCTTCGACCAGCACATCCAGCCGACCATGCGTCTGGCAGATATTGTGGTGCCCAGAGGTAAGAGGTCCGTGTTCATACAAACTCTCCGAATGTCTGTTATTTCCCGAATATTCAGAGACTCGTCTGTGTGCGTCTTCCAGGGAGCGGGAACACGGTGGCCATTGATCTGATCGTACAGCACGTCCACAGCCAGCTGGAAAAGGTGAGTCACATTGATGTTACCATGATGTCTGTAAGGGGTCAGTCGGCCCAAAACTCTGATTTTAGTGTTTGATGCTGGAATGCTAATGGACCCGCTGGCTGACCCAATGTTCATCCCTCCAATGCTGTAATGGTCACTTCTAGGCTCCGCCCACCTGCTATAATCATCACGTGTTGGACTCTTCCTGTTAGATTCAGCAGGAGGAAATCCCACAAGAATAATCACGCTGGTAGGTGACTCCTCAGATTTCTGGCTTCTGGGAGGAAGTGAAAGACCAGATTTGGGTAGACTCATCCTTTAAAGTGGAACTCCAGGAAGTCCACCCCCCTGTATATATAACAAAATAGTGCCGAGTGGTACTTACCCTCTCCATGTTCCAGAGATGTCCCTCAGTTCCTTCTCCGTCCAGCGCTGACAGAATGACTCTGTCGTCCTGTCCATTTCCTGTGAGCCCAGAATTCCATTTACATGCCCCCACTAGGAAAGGCATCATCACGCAGGGGGGCTCACAGTACCCCAGGACTAAAGCTGGGTATACACGGGTCTATTTTTAGTCCTGGGGGGCTCACAGTACTGAAGCTGAGCACATGTGAGTCTATAGACTTGGGTCTATTTTCTTTTGCTCAACCCGCCGGCTGAACAAAATAAATAGAACAGAATCCCCCGCTGTTTCCTTTGTATACTGATGTGGGCCGCCCGCTGGCAGAATACCTGTCCGGAGTTTGCAGCCTGTCGGCTGCCAGTTTCATTCGGCCGAGAATTTCTCCAACCTGTACTTTTGATCACCTGATGGAGGGATGCCGGACGGAAGGGTGTCGACAGAGGCGCCTATGCAGCGAATTTCGGCCGGACGAATTTCAAAGCATGGATAGCGCGCTTAAGTGCTCTCATTATGCGAGCAGTCTTGGAAGAATACCCCCCACCCCCCACATTCTTACCACCACCGGTAGAAGGAGAAGAAGCTGTGGTGACATCACCGGACCAGCAACCAGAAAAAATATAAGTATAGGGGGTTTGAAACAAACAAACTAGGGGTGGGTAGCATAGGTCGGGTGGTAGTAGCAAGGCCTGGAGATCCGCTTTAAGGGGTGGTCTTGCTTGTTTATAGGATAATGGTGACCAGTGAGATCTGCTTGCGATTAGTGATGGGCTCGGGCGTGTTCGCAGCTCCACGTGCCGAGCCCGCCAGGAAGCTGGCAGCGCCAATCACGGGTACTGAGACATTTCCCGATCTCTGCAGCTGCGGACCAGGAAAATGTCTCAGTACCTGTGATTGGCGCTGTCAGCTTCCTGGCGGGCTCGGCACGTGGAGCTGCGAACAAGCCCGAGCCCATCACTACTTGCGATCCCAGCACTGACAACCCTGTGTCAACCTCTCACCCCGACTCTATAGTGAAGAAGGAGCCAGAGCCGCTCGTTGAGAACACACTGAGGAATCTCTAAGGCTGCCTGTGTCCCCGCAGGAGCGATTTCCCCTCACTTGTGTCACCGGGATGAAATCTCCCCATTAGACAGCAATAAAAGCGCGACAGGTTCTCTTTAACTGTAATATGGGTCTTGTTGCAGCCTCTGTGGAGCAAGGCGCTGTGTGTTGTTCTTTTTTGTAGGCGAGCTGTGTGTCTGTCCTTGGTCTCATCATGTCTGTGTGTCTGTCCCCACTGCTGCAGAGGGAGATCAGTGTCAGGTAAGGGGAAACGTATGTGTGCTGCGGCCGGTCACCTCTTCCTGTGGAAACATCGCTGTCATTCTCACAATCTCTGTAGCATCTGAAAAGCAACAGAAGCTGCAGACATGTCATCTGTCACCTCTTGACTTCTGTGTGATTATGATGGAGACTGCGTGCCGAGGCGTGAACGCCCGCCACCATGAGACGTGACCCGACTGTAATTAGCGCTTAACATCACATGCCAATTAGCGCACGATTAGTTCATCCATCGCCATTCGATGACTCTGTTCATATAAGAGCCGCCCCTAAATTCAGCTAGATTTATCTTATTTGGGGTTAGATGGAGTGGGAAAGATTGCATTTTCTGTGACCCCCAGGTCGCAGATTCTTTCTTGACTTCCTGTTCCAGTGACCCCAGGAGAAACAAGGGGGGGCGGCGGTGGTTACCAGGAACAGAAAGGCTCAGCCAGCAGTTGTGTGTGCCCTCGCCTGGTTCTTCCATCCCCCCACTCCTTTATCGCTACAGTATATAGCAGTGATATGGTGGTCAGAGGTTGGAGTAATGGCGCGCAGCGGGGAACTATTGGAAATGTCGGAATAGACTTATTTACACTTCTCCTTTAAAAATTTTTTTCAGAAAAGCTAAATTTGCTTCACACCAGCCACGCGCGAACGTCTTCCATTTTCCCGTGTGGATGGTGTCCGCTGGGCGGCAGTGCTGTGTAGCGGGGACATTGTTTAACTTTATTGGCAGCATACAAAATGTACACTCAATTTTGGACCCCGCGCTGCTCTTTGGTGCCCTCCTGTGCCACACCATGGCTTGACTTCCCGTGCCATACACTGCGCTGCCCTCCGGTGCCATAAAGTGCACTGCCATGCAGTGGGCTGACCTCTGTTGCCATGCAGTGGGCTGACCTCTGTTGCCATGCAGTGGGCTGCCCTCTGTTGCCATGCAGTGGGCTGCCCTCTGTTGCCATGCAGTGGGCTGACCTCTGTTGCCATGCAGTGGGCTGCCCTCTGTTGCCATGCAGTGTGCTGCAAAAAAAATGCACATTGTGGTGTAAACGGGTCACAATTGTATTCTGCGTGCCCCTGCGGTGACCCCCACTGATCCAGTGCAGAAAAACACCGGTCACATACTAGTGTGAATGAGCCACAAGTCCCCAATTGGGTCCATCTGTCAGTTTTTCAGGCAGATCTGATTGGTTCCCTAATGTCAGTCTATAAGTACCCGGGTCTAAACGAACGTCTCTTTACACCCGGTTACCTCGGACTCCGGCCAGGTCCAGAGAAACAAACGGAACAGAGTTCTGTTTCATCGGACCTGGTCTTGCTGGATCGGGGGGAATCTCATGTACATGGATCAAGTTTCTTTTTTTAATCAAAATACATTTTTGTTGTGGCCTCGCCGTACCTCCGACTTCCATGGGGAACAATTGGAATTGGGAGGGTACATGCACATCATCTATGAGGGGTGTATATATATATATATATATA